CCGCCCCCACTCTCCCATGTCCCTTTTCAGGTCTCCTCACACATTTGTTTGGGGGGTGTTAAATTTTTTGGGACTTTGTGTGTTTGGTAGTTTTACGGGCCTCCCATAGCTGCTAAAAGGGCCCCCAAAATTGGCCAGGGCCCCCTATACCGCCCTCATGCTGCTCCCAAAGTCCGAGTCTTCAGGGGGCCCCTGTAGGGCCCCTCCCATTGCTGCTGTCTCCACCCCCCCCAACTTTTGCCATGTGCCACTTTCAGGTCTCCCCCAAAACCACTGGGGTTTTGTGTTAAATTTTTTTTTAAACATAGGGTGTGGCGGTTTTTAGGGCCTCCCATGCTGCCCCGGGCCCCCTAATCTGCCAGGGGCCCCCTTATACCGCCTCCTCATGCTGCTGCCCAAGCCCCGAGTCTGTCTTGGGTCCCTTTTGGGCCCCTCCCATTGCTGTTTTTTCCCCCATCGCCAAAACTCTCCCTTTGTGCCCCCTTTCAGGTTTTCCTCACACACTGCTGGTTCCCCTGTGTTCTATTTTTTTGACATAGGGTGCTGGCAGATTACGGGCCTCCCATAGCTGCCTGCCAGGGCCCCTAATCCTGCCATGGGCCCTATAGTCCTATCGCTGTGCCAAGTTCAGAGTTGTTCATGGGTCCCTGTCTGCCAGGTCCACATTGTGTGTTCCTCGCAACTATGCCATGTTGCCACTTTCAGGTCTCCTCACAATGCTGGTGTGTTCCATTTTTTGTCCAATAGAGGTGCTGGAGATTACGGGCCTCTATAGTGCTGCTGCCAGGGCCTGACCCTACATGCAGCTGCCATGGGCCCATGTCTATACCGCTTTCAGTCTCACATGCTGCTGGTGTAGTTGCTTTTTTGAGTCTGGCAGAATCTCTCCATAGGTTGTCCCTGTACGGCTCATCCCCATTGCCTGACATGTCAGAGTCCATCGGTCCAATGCTACACTCTGCCACATTGTGCAGACTTTAGGTCTCCTCATCACACTGCTGGTTGTGTTTCAATTTTTTGTCATTAGGGTGCTGGCAGATTACGGGTCCACGGGCCTAATTGCCAGGGCCTTGCGCTTCTCATGTGCTGCCAGGCCACCGTTAATTATCTGCATGCGGCCCCTGTACCGCTATCTTGACAAAGGGTGCTGCTTATGCTACAAGCTGTCCAGAGTGTGTCATGGGTCCCGATCTCAAGTACGGACCTTCTCCCATTGCTGCTGTCGCTGCCACACGCACACTCTGCCATGTAGCCCACTTTCAGGATTCCTCACACATGCTGGTGTGTTACATTTTTTGTCTATAGGGTGCTGGCAGATTACGGGCCTCCCATTGCTTGCTGCCAGGCCGTAATCTGCCATGGGCCCCGTTACGAACTCCTCATGCTGTGACGTTGCAAAGGTGGAATTCAACCCCTAAATATGTTAGACCGCCTTTACGAACAGCAAAAGGCCATCACAGATTTCTGATGTTAAAAGCCGGATAAAAGGTAACTCCTGTGTAACTTAGATGTCAGCCATTGGCAGCTATGGCGTGACACCTGCGCTTGTCAGGGCCTTTGAGGAGGCCATGCTATTCTGTGAGTCGGCAGGACTATGGGCAGATGAACGACCGTCATTCCTCTGTTGCACGTCCTGGAACAAATGATGTTAACAATGGCTGGTCAGGGTGCGGTAGAGTGGGCGACAGATCTCAACGCCACATTGCCCTCGTGTTGGGGGGGGACAGGAAGAAGAGGAGGACGGTAGAGGAGGACATTGGTGATCTCAGAGAATTATTGAGTGAAATGGGTGGTTTTTCCACTCAGCGGACAGGAGTGGAGGAGCAGGAGCGCATCTGGTAGAGGAGGGAGGAAGAGGAGACAGAGGAACCCAGCCGCACCGTGGCAGTATGCTGTGGAGTTAGATCGGAGGCAGGGAGTCCCTCGCATTCCTTGGCGAAAAATGGCCCCAATAGCATGCTCGCTTGCTTGCGTACCGACAGCCTTCTTCAGCGAATAAATAACCATCAGACAGACAGGGATGACTTTTTTTTTTTTGGGCTGTCCACCTTGTTGGACTCGCTACCGTTCAAAAATGGTGGCCTTTTTCACACCTGCTTGAGAGGGAGGCCAAAATAACGTACTATGCTGGTCTCTGCCTGTCTGCGCCAACGTCCATCCTCAGACACTGTGGGCCCTGTGCGCTCGCGTTCCGCTGCCATGGCAGCAGGGGAGGGGTGGGGTGGTAGGAGCAGTGGCAGCTCCACCAGCAGCAGCTGCCTCAGTCTGCAGTCGATGATGAGTAGCTTTCTTCACCAGCGCAGTGAGGAAACTACTAACCAGCCGCAGCAGCAGCAGCAGCAGCAGCATCAGGTGGACCTGGAGCAGGACCTCAAACAACAGGCTTAGGCCTACTTGGACAGCACCCTGCCAACCGAGGTAGACAATCCCCTTGACTACTGGGCAACAAAACTTGACCTTTGGCCCCAACTAGCTGAATTTGCCCCTTGAAAGGCTGTCATGCCCGGCCAGTAGCGTGGCATCGGAGCGCGTGTTTAGTGCGGCAGGAGGTATTGCAACTCCGCGGAGGACACGACTGTCCACCCAAAGTGTGGAGAGACTCACGTTTGTGAAAATGAATCAGGCGTGGATTAGTCTGGATTTCAAACCACCAGTTCCTGACACAAATGACTAAATCCGCCATGAATCATGCCCCAAACATGTGCCACTTTCAGGTCTCCTCACACTGCTGGTGTGTTCCATTTTTTGTCATAGGGTGCTGGCAGATTACGGGCCTCCCATAGCTGCTGCCAGGCCCCTAATCTGCCATGGGCCCCTATACCGCCTCCTCATGCTGCTGCCAAGTCCAGAGTCTCTCATGGGTCCCTGTACGGCCTCCCATTGCTGCTGTCTCCATCGCCACACTCTGCCATGTGCCACTTTCAGGTCTCCTCACACTGCTGGTGTGTTCCATTTTTTGTCATAGGGTGCTGGCAGATTACGGGCCTCCCATAGCTGCTGCCAGGCCCCTAATCTGCCATGGGCCCCTATACCGCCTCCTCATGCTGCTGCCAGGTCCAGAGTCTCTCATGGGTCCCTGTATGGCCTCCCATTGCTGCTGTCTCCATCGCCACACTCTGCCATGTGCCACTTTCAGGTCTCCTCACACTGCTGGTGTGTTCCATTTTTTGTCATAGGGTGCTGGCAGATTACGGGCCTCCCATAGCTGCTGCCAGGCCCCTAATCTGCCATGGGCCCCCGTACCGACTCCTCATGCTGCTGCCAGGCCCGTAATCTGTCATGGGCCCCTGTACCGCCTCCTCATGCTGCTGCCAGGTCCAGAGTGTGTCATGGGTCCCTGTACGGCCTCCCATTGCTGCTGTCTCCATCGCCACACTCTGCCATGTGCCACTTTCAGGTCTCCTCACACTGCTGGTGGTTTCCATTTTTGTCATAGGGTGCTGTATGGCCTCCCATTGCTGCTGCCTCCACCGCCACACTGTGGCTCCACACTCTGGTTTTGGCCCCGTGACTGCCCAAATGAGTGAAGTGTGCTGTGATTCTAAGATCGACGGCACTCATCTGCATGTCATACTGACTGTCAGTATTATATCTCTTCCCCAGCAGACTCCAAGGGCATTTAAATTAAAGGTACAGTGTTCTGCACTAATATAAAGGCTCTCTGAAGCCTAGAAACACCCTTTTATAAGTTAAATTCACAGCGAATATATTCGACTCGAATCGAAATTTTTCCACGAATTCGCCAAATCAGTCGAATCGAATTTTTGAATACTTCGCTCATCTCTACTCACAACTGCTGCTCACTAGATATTTTCTCTTTTTCAAACCATTTTCAGTAAACCCTAGAGATGACTATGCATCAAAATCCCAGTAGATCAGCAGTTTTTGAAATACTCAGACCAGCTCGTCTGGCACCAACAACCATGTCACGTTCGGACTCACCTAAATCCCCCTTCTTCCCCATTCTGATGCTTTGTTTGACCTTCAGCAAATCACCTTATGTCCAGATGCCTAAACGCATTGAGTTGTTGCCATGTGATTGGCTGATTAGCAATTTCTGTTACCAAGAAATTGAACAGGTGTACCAAATAAAAAGGCAGGTAAGGGTATATGTGCAACTAACAATGAATGTCAAGTCAGATACAGTATACTGTGCGTTAACATGAACCTGAAATGTGAATGGCCCTAATGTTGTTCTACTGAGAGATTTTACCATGCCAACAAAAGTCAAATCTCTCAGTAGCAGAAGATAAAACGGAGCCTATGTATATTATCCATATGGCTGTGTAGCACATTGTCCAACATATTTATGTTGTAAAGTTATAACATTGCTATGACTGCTATAATGAGAATGTTTTTTTCCTTCTAAAAAACTGAAGAATGTTGGATCAAGTTTTAAAACAGCAGCAAACTGGTTTGGTACACAGAGTTATTGGAGCATAGAAAATCTGAGTGCTCAAAATGTTAATTATTTATTGAGGAGCAAGAAAAGTTTTATCTGTGTATTTGGCACAGGCAAATATAATGAGGCAGTTCTGGCTTTTTAACTCGCATTTTCCTGCTTCATCATCTGTACTCATAAAATAATGAAAACTCTCGTGATCAGCATTATATCTGCACTAGTAACTGCACATGCAAATACCTTCTCTCCTGCTTTTTAATGAACACAGTTAATCAGCATGTATGCACTGTTATAAAATGATACAGTACATTTTATAAAAGCCAGTTATCTAATTTAGGGAAGTGAAATATACAAATTATTAAATATTGTTAGGATCAGCATATTTTCTAACACTTCCCTTGAACTATTTCTATTATTTATATAATGTTATAATACAGTGATGAAAACTAAAGATAAAGAATTATTTCTTCAAAGGACTAGTAACTAGTATTGGAATACTTACTTTGGTAGAGTTGAGATTTTAATTCTTAACATTTATTCTACAATAATTATTATAATTTTAATTAAATGTTGATTCATGCCTTTAATGTATGTAAAATGTAATGGCTGAAGCCTATTAAGGAAATCAAGGAAATCAAACCCTGCTCTTTCTTCAACCCAGCTGTCTATTGCAAAAGGAAGTGTTACACTACTGTTAGATGTTTGATGCTAATGATCTGGGAACAGGCATTTCTGCTTCTAGAGCAAACCTAAATTTCCTATCCCCAAAGCAATGCCACCCTCATTAAAGTCCATTTCCTGGCAAAACCTAAACCCAACTTAAAACAGTTCTATTTAACACTTATGCTTAACCCATTAGCCTTACCCTGAATTAACCCTTAACCTATCATAATGTACAACACTTAAACCGCTGTAGGTTCAATTCACAAAGTGGTATCTACCGCTTTAAAAACTGTAGTAAAATACCTTTTAGCATTTTTCAAACTTTTTTTGCAATTCACTAAAAAAAAAGCTACTAAAATACCGCATGAGCTATTTTATGAAGTGATGCAGTATTTTAGCAGTGAAAGATAGCTATTTTAACGCTGATGGTAGCCGGAGTCCTTAACAGCCAGTAATCAAAATGGTTGTTAAGGAGTGGGCAGCTGCCGCCTTCTTAACAACCATGACTCATCTGCTATCAACAGTGTTGCCCACTGATAGAATAATGTAAACAGAAAAGAATTGCCAAAAACAGCGTGGCTCCCCCCAATCCTTACCAAGCTCTTCAGGTTTGGTATTGATTGCAAGGAGAGCTCCAACCGAAAATTGAAGAAAATTGCATGGGATCCCTCCAAATTCATACTAGACCCTTTTTCGAGCATGCAGTCTGGAAAACCAGGAATGGGGGGGACAAGTGAGTGCCCCCCAAACCATACCAGGCCACATGCCCGCAACATGGGGCCCCCCAAAAAAACACCTTGTCCCCATCTTGATGGGACAAGAACCTCTATCCCAAACAACCCTGGGTGGTGGTTGTGGGGGTCTGCAGGCGGGGGGCTTACTGGAATCTGGAAGTTCCCTTCAACAAGGGGCCCCCCAGATCCCGGCCCCCATGTGAATGAGTAGAGGTACATAGTACCCCTACTCATTCACCAAAAAGTGAATAAAAACACAGCCAGTTTTTGACAAGTCCTTTATTCAAAACCCTTCCCAAAAAAATGTTTGCACCCGAAGTAGGTCCAATGTCAATCACAATGAATGCCGGCCACCGACCCGAGCGAAAAAATAAACCCAACCCACACCAACGCATGGCTTCCACCAAATGACAGCTCTGCCACCTCCAGATGCTAAATAAACTAAGGTGCAGGGCCACCTGATGACATCACTGGGTGATCCTGCCCCCTTGTGACCAGGGAATGAGAATATTTTCCTAGCTATCTTGTGTAATCTACCACTTGCCCTGACCTTCAAGTTATGGAGATACAGAGAAATGGACATATTTGTAATTGATATCAGGAGAGCAGCCAAGGACCAATCATGGCTCTCCCCATAAATGCAGTTGGAGGAGTGATGTAGCCACCCAGGGGCAGGAAGTGTGTTATTTGCAGGATTACCAGATATAAGTAAAGCAAAAGACGCTTGAATAAAAGCAAACAACCACACCAAGGACTAGTAATCTCCAATATAATATGTTTTTTGTTTTGGGTTTAGATGCACTTTAACTGTAGCCTTTACCTAAAGCCAACTCTGACCAAAAACATTTTCATTTATTATGGATAGAGAAGGTAAGGGTTCAGGCCTCTGTCAGATTTTTATTGCCATCTAGGATGATTTCCCCTCACTTCCTGTTGGGACCAGATATGATAGGAGGTCTTTCAAGAGTATCTCCACAGAGATACAGACAAAAATGAATACACATTTAGGTACAGTGAATGACAATACATTTTAATCATATTCTCAGTTTGACTTGGTTTGCGAATGGTTTACCCTAGGTGGTTAAGGACAAAATATTGAATTAAAAAATCTAAGATTTTTCTCTTTCCTTTGCTTACTTTCCTTTCTTTCTCAATACCATTTACTGTTCTTGAGCCAAAATGCTAGCTTTTCCTAACATTATTAGTGGCCTGCATTGATTATTGAGTATGAATACCAAGTACATTATGAATTTCTAGGCATCAGTGGAAAAATGAAACTATATTGTACTATGGATGAAAAATGGTGTGTTTTATAATGAATAGAAAATATAATAATGATAATCTGCTCATGTTTTCCAGAGTATTCATTCTTCATCTCTGTCGGTTGAATCACCCATAATTATTACAGTTCTTATAGGATGATAAAATGTACAGTTCTGGGCCACACAGTCATTTAGCTAACAGCTGCATACTTCTAGGCATACTTACTGCATCTTGTGTGAAGTATTAGAGCACCTGCACTATTCACTAAACAAAGTATAGGTTAATGGGTACTTCATTACATGATTTTGAATAGTATGATATTTCTAGGAATGATTATATTTTATTTGCTGATTATTTTCTCAAAGATAGAAAAAACTGTCTTTGAACACAAAATATGAAGTGACAACAAAATTCCTAAAGTGACTACCTATCGTAAGGTAGGCATCCCACATCTCAGTTTAGCTACTGAGAGTGTGAGTGCTCAGAATCCCAAAGGTGCTCTGGTATGCAAATATCAATCTGGTCTAGAACTCAGTGGCTCATCATGATCAGCCAATAGTGTGGAAAATGAGATGGAAATGTGTAGGATGAGCTGCTCAGCCAGGTAGGCTGGTTTTGACATTGGTACTTTAAAGGTCTGCATAGTTTTTTCGACACTGAGTTATAAGTTATTAAAGCCTATACATCAGCCCAACAACCAGTCAACCAGCATTTTCAGAAGACAGTCAACAATGAAGGTCAAAAGGGCAGAATTTGTTCATAAGATATTTCCTGAGAATGTTGGTCCAGTAACACATAAGAAATTAATACTTACATAGTATAGTTGGTAACTGTAGATGCGTATATGCATTCATGCACCTTGGTTTTTCTGGAGCCCAGTAGCGCTCTGTAACATAAAGAAAAGACTATTCAAAGGCACCAAATACAACACTCTGTGATTTGCAGGTCATAGTGGTGTTCTACTGTTCACATCTCCCTTACAGCTTTCTTCTTTGCCTTTAGCAAGGTTAAAACTGAATGTTGTCCCAAACTTTAGTTTGATCAGTGATGTTCAACCAGCAGTCATCCAGTGTTACCTTTTCAGTCCTTTCGCCTGTTGTAAAAAAATATTTGTATTATTTGTGTGTGCATGAAAAGATTAGCTCAAGGCTCCCAGCTGGATGTAAGTGATGAAGTTTTATTAAAATCAAAAGTCACTAAATAAATGATGAAAGTTACATAAAAGTTAGCTGACTGTCATCCTGTTACATTGTGCCGTGGCTCTGATAGCAGAAAGACTTCACATACAGGCTTGAAAAGCAGGTGGAGATGGACTGAGTCCCAATGTAATGCCACAGGGCTGGGCCTACTCAAGCTAGTGCAGAGCTCCGGAAGTGACATCATAGGAACTTAAAATCTCTGGGAGGAAGCCACAAGAAGGTGTAGATGGACAGAAAGCTGGATTGATTGCATTGACAAACTGTGCCATGCTGTCACTATAACCAATCCAGCTTGGTGTCCATCTGTGGCTTCTTCCCAGCAGTTTCTAATTCCCATGACATCACTTCTGGTGCGCTGTGTTGGCTTGAGTAGTCCTAACCCTGTGGCTTTAC